CCCAAAGCGGACAATATCGTGCTACGGTGGTGGAGCAGGTCCTGGGATGTGGTGGACCCCGGGCCGGGATGTAACAGTATATGTAATAATACATGCAAAATTATTTACCTACAAAATAAAAGGATGTTTTTAGCCAATTGATTCAAAGTTAATTAACTATCTATATCTACTTAAAATATAGGTAATTTATTTCACACAAATATAATAATAACGAAATGTGCCTAATGTATACATGCAAAATAATTTACCTACAATGATTGTCAAACAAATATAAGAAATCAAAGAGATGATGGCAAGGCAAGTATAAAGTAGATACTTTTGTAATATAAAGCACTTATTTGCCATAATTATGGTGGATAATTAAATTCATCATCATAATTAGGGTGTTATGGCACAATTGTAAATATTTTGAAAATAATAGGTATTTATTTGTTTATATGTCAGTTTATTTCAAATTTGTGTTTTATTTGGATGTTTAAAACGAGATGGGTTTTTGTCAAGAAAATAAGTGTTGTATGGGCTTATATCTAAAGAACCCAAAAAAAAAAGACAGAAATTAATTGCTAGCTTCGCCACGGCAGCCTACTCTTTTAGGAGCTGAAAACACTTATAGAGGCATTTCAACTTCCAATGGCTACCATTGAGTGACATAACTGTTTAGTTAGAATCAGTTACTAATTATTTATTTTAATACATATCATCTTTTATCAGGATTGTTAGTACTTTATTTGGCAAATAACAAAAAATTTAAGAGAATTATACACAAATAAAATCAGTTACAAATTTTCAATTAAAATATTACTAAAAGACACCATAACAAATAGTAAGAGTGCCTTAAATTGTTATTTTCAATTAAATGTTTTTTTTTTTTTTTACAAGTTCTATTTGTGCACGTTTCTCAACTTTTAACATGTGACAATCATATCACGACATAGTGTTACTAAATTACTTGTTATAATATAAGCTATTAAACTCAAATTGTACTATAACTCAATCTTGGGGTGAAGGTCATATTGAAAAATTTGTCAACAAGACTCTCTTCATAAGTTTTGCTTAGACGCTTTGTGACATACAAGCATGCTAATATGATGTATTAAATTTACTCAAGTTACAATACGTGTAAACTCACATATAAAGTGTACTTTTTCAAAATTTATCATAAGATCAAATGGGACTTGGGAGTTTATTTCACAAGAAATGGCTTGAAAATTTGTCAACTTCCCAAGACTTAGGTGGGGTTGCCCCCTAATTTGGGGAAGTGAGAGGGGGCAAAGGACATGTAGATGCTCTGCGTCCATATCAACATTGCCGAAAGCTATAAAACAAATAGAAGCAGTTGGGAAGTTGTAGAAACAACTTTTGCATCCAACACTACACAACACTGTGACAGAAATCAGCGTTTGAATTTTTGCACAATTTTTCTCACAGAAAGACTCAGAGACTCACTCAGCTCCTTAATAATAATATAAGAAGAATTATATAAATACCTAGTCAATAAAGTGTGAGATTTTGTTTTGGGTAAAGTGAAGTGTGAGATGGGTTCACATGAATTGCACCCACTGATTTCAGAAGAGTCATCCACATATTACAAAGGGATCATATGCTTCATGGAGTCCTGGAGGGTGAAGAGCATATGGGTCCACTGTAATTTTCTGCAGGGAAAAAAAAAAGAAAAAAAAATTTCGATGGCTATATATAGAAAATTAAATTAGGGTTTTGGTTAATTTCTAGGGTTTTTCGTGGGTGATGGACTTTACAAAACTTGATGACATGATTACGTACAAAAGGTGAAAGATATCAATTCCTAGGTATCAGTCCCAAGTTCAAGAGAGATAAGGACTTGGAAAAAAATTAGTAAGAGAAATATTGATATGGCAGTTGACAGTGTTTACACACACACACACGTATAAAGCACTACTAGGAAAATCACATTTTTATGTGTGAATAAGTCGTGATTGTTTTGTGTTATACGCGCATTATAATGTTATGGGTCTCATTTTATGTGAAGAATTGTGATAACACTCGAGTTTAAATTAAAGCATTTTTTTTTCTCCTCTAACTTTGTAGTCTAGATAATATCATTTGTTTAAAAAAATAAAAATTTAAAGCATCTTTTTTTAGCATAAGGTGAAAATAACTTATCTATCTCGATCAGTTACGCTGTATAACACGAGGAGTGAGATATAGGAATAAAAAGCACTGCATAAGCATGCATTGTATCACAAGGAATCATATTAAACGATTACCCTTTCAACAGAGGGGGCGTTGAGGGGGGTGTGAAAGGTGTAGTCGCACGGGGCCTCAAATTTGAAGGGGCCTCCAAAATTTTTGTCACCAAATATTTATATGTAATAATATTATATATTTAAAATTGCTTTTGTTATGAAATAATGTTCTATATTCAACAATTGATTTTGTTAGCATGTTAAAATCTCATCTTACACTCCTTATAAGAGTAATTTTTTTTTTCTTTCTAAATACAAAAATTTAGAGTACAATAAGATATTTTGAGTGCCAATAATACACCATAAAAGACGGTATTTTTTTCAATATTATTATATAATAATGTTACATATTCAAGTGAAACTTTAAAGTTAGAGTTTTTGAAGTTCGTTTTCTATCTTTGGTTGTTTAAGATTGAACTGCTTTTGATTATTTAGTGAATGTTATGTTTGTAGCTCTTTTTACTTATTATAGATGACATTTTTAAACTTGCAATCAGTGAGTGTTAAACTTTGTTTTGATTTAAGTGATTGTTTTCTAGCGTCAATACATTGTCCTACATTATTTAAGACTTATCTTAAGGAGGGGCGCTTTTATAAATTTCGCACCGGGCCCCCAAAATCTCAGAGACGGCCCTGCCTTTCAAGCCCTAGTACTTGTTTGGAAGTTTTTATAAAATCACTGAAAGCGTTTTTGGTGAAAATATTTTGGAACCAATACTTAGTAAAAAGCTTATTTTTAGCTACCCCTTTGGAAGTGCTTTTGGAACTCAAAAACCTTTTTTTTTTCCTTTTTTTTTTAATTTAAAAAAAAACGTTTACAGTCATTTTAAAAACACTTTCAAACGAGTCCTTAATGATTCAATAAGACCTTTTTAACTGAAACCATACATTAATCAATGTGCTCATCTTGTAATATTTTTTTTTATTCCTTTTTTTGGGAAAATGTATGATCTCCATTAAAGAAGAGAATATTTACAATCATGAGGATGAGGTGCATACAATGGAGCTCGATAAAAATCTTGTCGATAATTCAATCTGGTCAAAGAAAAAAAGAGTGTCATGCACAATGCACGTGAGTAAGCTAACGCAGGAATTTATCTCTGATCAAGTTGGTGTGCAAGTAATACTCCTATCAATTATCTTCCTATCTCAAAAGAAACTTGTTAATTAGGGTTAATATAGGGAATTACTATTAGTACTCCAAAAATCTCATTCTACACTCCAAACTTTCTATATTAGGAAGAAAAAAAATACTTGTGAAGAGTGTAGAGTGAGATTTTTGGAGTGCCAAAAACACTTCTCTTAATATATTGGATAATGCTATGGAGATTAAATTTGGAGACTAAATTTACAAACTAAATGATATGTCACCAATAAGAATAAGCACGTTTATCAACATGTAAGTGATAAACTAATCATCAACTTCATATCTTTAGTTTTTAAAACTTTATTTACAAATTTAGTCTTCCTAACATTCCTCTAATATATTAAAGAGATCCATTAATATATTAATGGACAATTAATATTTTTCCTTGACTCCTAAGCTAAAAACACGTTCCATTTACCTGCCGTTTTCACTACAAAACCCATGCAAAATCAATTTAATATATCTCCTACTCTTGTAATTAGAAGGTTGACAAGTGCGTGGAATTTTGAGGATGGGAAAAGAAACTGCAACATAATAAATGACTTTGTAAGGGGTGCAATTCGGACGGTTTGAATAAGTTCGAGGACTAACTCGATTTCGCAAATTTGAATTCAAATCCATAAATATTCGGCCACGTTATGATAAGTCTAATCTAAATTCAATTTTCGTCCAAAAAGTAATCTAAATTTGTAAAATCGTGGCCAAAATATGAAATCTATAACAAACTAATTCTATATGAATACAAAAAGTTAACCGTTTAAACATTGATAACATTTGAAGATATCCTAATACCATAAACTAAAACAAATTCAACCAAACATTTTTGCATGGTAAATAGTAATCCGTTTGGATTTGTCATGTATCAACACAAATCCTCACTAAGAAAACGACTTACTTGCAAAAAGTTCTCCGACATTTTTTCTTTTTTTTTGAAGAATTCATATTATTCATATTAAGAGGAGGGACTGTGTTTAACCTTACCATGAGTTCAAATTCACTTTTAGCAAAAATCGAATCTAAGAACTCTCACTTACCAGTGAAAATGAATACCACTAAACCGTAGTATTAAATGGTAAAAATTATCCGACATTTAATGCAGAAGAAGATAAATATTCCATTAAGTGATTAACATAAGTTTCCTGAAAACCCTAATCATGTTTTACCAAAAACTTGAGTTAGAATACTTAACAAAATTAGCATGATGACACGCACAGTCTGAGGTGTTAGGTTTACACATGAAAAAAAGAAGGATATTAATTAATTTATTTGACATTTCGAAGAAATTAAAAAAGGAAGAAAATAATTATAGAAAAAAGGAGAGAAATAAAAGGATCGTATTCTGGCTAGTCTCCTCAGCCTTTCCAGATGACCAAACTGACAAATCTCCAATAATTTCCTCCCTCTCACCCACTTGGAATTGAATTCCTATTTTCTTTTTTAATTAAGCTCTCTCTCTCTCTCTCTCTCTCTCTCTCTCTCTCTTAAAAAATAAACGCTTTCCTGTGAAATGTCTGACCCGATAGTTTAGTCACAAAATCTGCATGTGTACGTTGTTGCTTACCATCTCTTTCCTCTCTTTAATGCTCCATCTCTATCTCTCTCTCTCTCTCTCTCTCTCTCTCTATTATATACAAATACAAAACCACCACCGTAAAAATTTATAAATAAATAAAAAAGAGGAAAAATAAAGCTTTAAAAAGACACAGCAAACTAGGCATCCTAGGCCACATCTCCTCCTCCTTTTCCTTTTCCAAGTTTCCTGTTACTTTGATTCAATTCAATCCCATTTTTCTATACTCCATATTCATTTATTTACTATTTTATGTTTGGTCTCTTCATATCTATGCTCCCCACTTCTTCCCCCACCAACTTTCTGATCATATACCCAAGTGAAAGAAAACAGAGAGAAAAACTAGTTTTTGGGTGCGAGAACAGGTTGAGGAGAAGGCCTGAGGGATTTGGAGAAAAGGCTTGGATTCAAAATTTGATCTTTTGGGTTGGTTGGTTTCAAGTTTTGATCGTTTGTTCGTTTGGTTGATTGAGAAATGGCCATCGAAGCTCAGATGTATCCGGAGAATCTTGGGTTTCCATTGTTAGGCTCACAGGATTGGATGGTGGAAAATTGTGGTGGCGGTGTCGGTGGGTTCAGTCAGTTTAGTTTAAATGCTCAACAGAAACACCAACTGCAACAACAATTTCAGCAGCAACAACAGCTTCTACAAAACCAGCAGCAGATAATGGATCAAAATCTCTGCTTTGAAAACAGTTTTCTTGTCCCCACTTTGGAAAACAACAGCAGCAACATTATGGCCTCCTCCTTTTCTCAAACATTGGAAGCTCAGGCTGCCAAGCAGAGGCAAGAGATTGATCAGTACATCAAATTACAGGTTAGAATTTAGAACCCAATTTTCATCACAAATTGTGATTTCATAACTTGGGTTCCATCCCAATTTTCAGTAAAATATGTGATTTTATGACAAGGGTTTAATCCATTTTTTCTTAAAGTTTATTTTGGTTTCATGATTTTGGATTATTCTTTATGTATTTGTTTTTTTTTTTTTTGGGGTAAAAACAGAATGAAAGATTGAGACTGGTGCTGCAAGAGCAGAGAAAGCAGCAATTCGCAATGCTGCTGAAGAAAATAGACTCCAAAACACAAGGACTTTTAAAGCAGAAAGACGAAGGAATCACACAAGCAAACAGAAGACGAATGGAGCTCGAAGATTTTCTCAGAAAATTGGAGGCAGAAAACCAGGCATGGAAAAGAGTGGCACAGGAAAACGAAGCCATGGTCGTGTCATTAAACAACACACTGGAACAGTTCAGGGAGAGGGCCACGTGTTGCCCCTTGAATGGTGCAGAGGATGCAGGGTCCTGCTGTGACAACTACGGAGAAGAAGGAGAGAGTGATGATGGAGTAGGAGGTGAAAAGATGAAGGTTTGCAGAAGATGTAATTTTAGGAGTTCGTGTGTGCTGTTTCTTCCCTGCAGGCACCTCTGTTCATGCAAAGATTGTGAGGCCGTTCTGGATTATTGCCCGGTTTGTAGAACGCCAAAGAAGGCCAGCATTGAGGCTTTGATTTTCTAGGCTGATTTTCCGGGAAAAAGTAGATAGGAAAAACGGAAAAATAAATAAATAAAGAAAATGACTTGGGAAATGCTTTGGTTTTGGCAGCATGATGTTATGATGATGGTAATGTGAATAGAATCAATTTCGATGCAATTTTTCTTTTTTTTTTTATTTGGTGTTTATTTAACTAATTAATTAATTTTATATTTCCTTTTTGGGGTCTCTGGATTTAGGTTTTAGTTTGTACTTTAGACAACCAAAAAAAACCAATTGAACAGAAAAAATACAGAACAGGGCATCTTTTTCCTTTCATGGGGAGGATGTTGCTTTCGCCTTTTTCCCATTTGCTTTTCTTATTCCGTCTTTTGGGAAGATTGATTTGATTATTCATATCAGATAAATTGTGCCAATTGTTTTGCATCTGGCAGTGCTCAATTTTAATTGACAGGAGGGATTGAGAAAGCAACGTCACAGTAGACATTGTGTCGGTGTTGTTTCACGCAAGAAGTGATTCTTATAATTGTTTAAATTTGAGTCTCGAAAACAAGAGTTAATGATAATTTTAAAAAGCTAAATACGGGCGGACAAACTTTGCGAACAAGAATGATTCAGCTATGTTGATCATCTAATACATAATCTTATGGGCTATAAAGACGAACGAGACTAAAATACATCAGGTTCATGCAAGAAGTGATTCTTTTAATTGTTTAAATTTGAGTTTTGGTAACAAAGTCAAATGAAAATTTTAAAAAGCTAAATATGGACAGATAGACTTTGCGATTCTTGGTTCGGCTATATTGATCTAATACATAATGTTATGGACTACAGAATCCACTGAGACTAAAATACAACAGGTTTCATGGTATGAACGACGACGGTATCTTTTGCTTGTTTTTGTAGATTTAGATGTCACAGAAAATTGATCCCATTGAAAGTATCTAATGGGAAAACATGTTTGTTGTGAGAGCACACAAAAGGTCAAAAGAAAGTTGTGGGTGATGAAGTTCTTGGGGTGGAATTTCTTCTTTTTTTTTTTGGTTGAAGGGGTGGAATTTCTTTGGATCCACATTATCATAGCCGTCGTTGGAATATGTATCATAATATCTCCAAGAATAATATGGTCCATCTCAATTGCCATACACGTCTTAGCCTTTTGGGTCCCCTCTCCTTGCCTCTTGTTCAAGTTATAACACTTTCTCTCCATTTTTTGCCTCTTTTCAATCTAAACCTTTTTCTTCCTTGTGTTTTAAGGTTCGAAAATTTATAACATGCTCGTAATCAACAATATTAGCTGAAAGAGTATCCCGTATAAAATCAAGATTTTTCAAACCACTTGAACTAAATTATGACATAAATGGATGCCACTTTAGTTTTGGACCTAAGTATACAATCAAACATAAAGAGCAAAGGATCCAAAGCCCAATTCATATGAGATTTGGGAGAATTACTTGGATCATGCCGCTCACATTAACATGACATCAGTTAATCATTACTTTCCATCTTAATTTTCATTGGCATAATTATCAAAACAATATGCCAATATACTTAAATGAATACAGTAGAACCTTGATATTTTAATATTTAATAAAAATAACTTTGGTTAAATAATATTTTTAGCTTGTCTCGACTAAAAGATAACATGCTAAATTTATAAGATAATATGTTTTAAAAAATTATATAGGTCCTATGCAATATATAAATTAATCATTTCTTGATACATAGTGCTTTTGCTTGGTTAAAAGTAACTACTCTAAAACCTCTTTAGAGTAATTCTATATAAAGTTAACCTCCTTATAGTCATACAAATTTCTGATTCCAACTTGGGCTGGTTATCAATAGAAATAAATTCAACATTGTAATAAGTTATAATTTTTTTAGGTCTCTTTTAAAGGAAACGCGCTTTCATATAATAATAACTATCAATGTGTACAAAATGTAATGTCACAAGTAAAAGTTTACTGAATTAAAATATTCCTCTATAATTTTGAGACTATGCTTTATTTTTAGAGTTGATACAACGCCTTTGAGCTTGCGGGCATGTAATACGTCATCCACTTGAACATCTTCTTGGTGAAAAATCATACTGTTTCTCGCTTCTCAAGCAATTTTACAAAGAAGAATTAAATAAAGCACATGCATCCACACACTAGATTTTAAAGATAGAGTGTTTTCTATTTCGAATGTTACATGATTACATTTTAAAAAGTGAGGTACTCTGCTAGTAGTTCTTTGTATTCATACAATTTTCATTGAGGATAACTAAGTAAAAAATATATATGTATTTAGATACACCTATTTTAAGTAATAACCTTCCTAAAGTTATAAAACTGGTTTGGGTCCCAAAATTATGACTATTAGAATTTTAGTGTTTTACTATAGATTCATGTGTTTTTAGTATGTGGTTAAACAAATACATAAAATTGTGGGCTCCACTGTTTTAAAAATCCCAATCTAGTGCCACCTCAACCCTAGGTGGCTAGCTACCGCCCCATTAATCCCTAGACGTTTGAAATTAATAAAAGGTGCCTAGACCTACTTAAGCACTTACCTAGCCCATCTAGGCGTCCGCCTAGGAACCCACCTACGTCGCAACTCTCACTTAGACAAATAAATAACTTTTATTTTGTATTTTATTGATTATTTAGTATCCACTAAATTAATATATTTTCTTTGGTCCGAAAACTATTAAAGTTATAGATGTTTAAATGTATAATAATATGCCACCAAGTAATATGGTCTAGTGGTATTCCTCTTCACTTATGAGGCTAAGTCTAGCCCATCTCTCTTAGTGTAGATAATATCGTTTATTAAAAATAAATGTATAATAATATAAAGAATAAAGTTTTTTCAATTATAAATGAGGTTGTACACTAATTTAAACTGAACGAGGTCTGGTAGTATTCCTCTTCACTTAGAAGTGAGAGGTATTAGGTTCGAATCTTGTGGATGACAAATTCAATACCAAATTAGACTGCCTATTGTGAGACTTAGCCGAAGTTCCTTTTTGCTTAATGTAAAAATATCAATGTACTAAAAAAAAACCAAAAGAATCGTTAGACAATCCACCACTGCATTTTTCTCAGTCTTAACACATAATATAAACAAACTTGTTGATAAACACAATATGCTTATCGATGTAAACAATCAGTTATGTCATGTAATCAAGTAATCTGACATGAAACTATGCCCTAAAATTTGGATTTGTAACCAAGACACTAAAATCGGTTAAATGATAATGTTAGCTTCTTTTAATAAAGAAAGTTTGTATATATCATCATCAATAAATGTGCCGCGGAATGAAGAGGGAAGAGAAGAAACTGAGTCAAATTGGTAATTTCGAAATTGGAGAATTAATTAGTTACTTGAAACTTGTAAGTAAAAGGCGAAAAGAAAAGCAAAAAAGAAAAAAAAAAAAAAGTTTACTGTTTAATAGCCGTTGACAGGAGATTCTGGTGGGTGTGTTGTTTCTCAGCAGTAGCCGTACATCTTGTGATTTTATTTATTAAATAATGTAGATTGCTCAGTGGGGGCCTCGGAGGAGTAGAGTGGACTCAGAGTCGAGCAGTGCGATGTGGGCCATCTGATCTTCTGACTGACTGATTCAACGCGTGATGTTGTGCTTCTGGTTTCTTTCCTTTCTGTGATCTTTCGCTCTCTGATTCTGTGTGAGTGTGGGCCCCTTATCACGATTTTGTACTACAAACGCAGAGATTTCGATTCCCGCTTTTCCTGCCGTGTTTGATTACTTTTTTTGTGTCAATTTATTTATTTCTATTTTATCTTCTTCTTTTTCCGTGTTACAAACTTTACGGTAATGGCACGAGTCACGAGAGATGACAGTGATATACGTCTTATAATTTGACGTAATTCTAAATGCTCCGTATTTAGATGACAGTGATATACGTCTTATAATTTGAATGTTCTACTCCTATGTGAATGAATTTATTTTTTCTCCATTACACTAATCACATTCTTGTTCATTTATTTTGTGATAGGAATATGTCAAATTTGAACAAACTCGACTTCACTGCTTTGGAAGACTCTGGAAGAAACTACCTAAAGTGGGTCTAAGACGTTAAGCTCCACCTCACCGCAAAGAATTTGAGTCCCGTCATTGAAGATGAGACAAACAACCCGATTAGCGAAGTTGAGAAAGCCACTGCCATGATCTTCATTTGAAGACACATTCATGATGCATTACAAATCGAGTACCCTGCTAAGGAAGATCCACGACCACTTTGGGTCGCTTTGGCTAATCATTTTGATCACCAAAATGACATCTTCTTGGTGAAGTAAGACATGACTGGCAGCATCTACGCTTCCAAGACTTTAAGTCTATGAATGAGTATAATTCTGAATTTTGTCGAATCCGATCACTTCTCAAGTTCTGTAAAGAGAACTTGATCAAAGAGGATCTTCTGAAAAGACCTATTCAACCTTCTCTGTTACCAATATTGTCTTGTAACAACAATATAGGGCTCATAAGTTCACTAAGTTTTCGGATTTGATCTTTATTCTACTTTTTGCTGAAAAGCAAAATCAATTGTTGATGAAAAATCATTAAGCTCGAAAACGCCCAAAATGCCAACATAGACGTGGTAGGGGTGGCCATAATCCACCCCGTCAAAGTCAACAGAACCAATGCCCATCTAAGGGAGAAAACCAAGCCCAAAAGCGCCCTAACCTCGCTCTCAAGGTCCCAAACTTCAAGAATAAGGGCAAAGCACATGACACCATGGATGTGAACATGTGTTACCACTGTGGTTCAAAAGACCATTGGTTCCGTGTTTGCCATGCTCCCTAGAAGGTTGTAGCTGAATATCATTCTTGTTGTAAGAAATTTGAATCAAACTTTGTACAAGTGGATGAGCCAGAGAGTACCAAGATGGAGGTTTATGACTTTTAAGAGCTATTAACCCTATGGAAGATTAGAATCTTAGACATGAACTTTTTTTAGTTGCATTTTAGAATAATAGGGTCGACTTCCACCTAGTGATTGAACCCTGCTTTTTATTTTTGTTTTTTTGTTTTTTGTTTAAGTTTGAACAATTTTCCTTTATGTTTGGAATTATTTGTTGGTGATTTGTTTTTGGATATTAAGTTTTAATTAGGGTAAGGTACAAAAAACTACCTCAACTATTGGTGTCACGACACTTTCATACCTCATCAGTTAAATGCTGACGTGGCTTGATTCGGGGTCCACTTTCTATTAAAAAATCATTAA